ATATATAAAAAAAGTGTATATATATATATATATATATATATATATATATATATATGGATGTAATTGGTTTAGTAGCCAAGCCTCTGCCCTGGGTGAACAAATGAAGCAGCATGGCTGCCCCCGAGGGAAGGCAGGAAGGCATGGTCCTCCGACCCTCCCAGCAGTCCATGACCCGGGGTGTTTAAAAAAATAGATTATAATGAATTCTGTGTGCTCTGTAATTCAGTATAATTACAAACGAGCATCTGGTTTAGCTATGGGAATATTTGCTCCAATAACTTGGAAAAGAAATAGGCAGAAGAGTGAACTACACAGTAAATGTAAACACTTTTGCACACTGCTGCACACCTATTCTCGTTACTTTATTTATTTATTTTTATATTACAGCTGTTGTTTCACAGGCTGACAGTTAAAAATAAACCGTATTTGGACAGGTGTGCTTTTTTCCCAGCTATTCCTCCTACCCATAGAAATGTTGACATTTTATATTAAATTGCGAGTTCTATTTAATTTTTCGCAAAGTGTCTGCTTAAGCGTACAGTGCTAAAGTGAGTGTGCAGTCACAGCCTGTTTAGAGCTTCTTATATACTGAAGGCAGAGGGACATTTCAGTCGGCGACAGCACAACTGTGGTAGAGCCACGACTTTGACTGCGTTATCTCACTTTTCGTTGCCTTCTTTTACTCTTTGGACCAGAGGTTATAACTAAATCTCAGTAAAAGTACTTTTTTTATCACCCTAATATTTACACATTGTTTTTCTGTACTCAGAAGTTAACAAGAGAATGTGTAACAAACGTCCACTTCCTGATGTTTTTTTTATTTTTCTCTGATTGTGTAACACTTAAAAGAAAGCGTTTTACACACTCTTCACAAAGAGGGAAAAAAAAAAAAAACTCCAAAACAAAACGTACTCTTACAGTTTCGTCTGACATTGCTGCGATTCTTTGACTTTTTTTTTTTTTTACATTTAGTGTGTGGTAAAGACATTGAAGGACCGTCACTGTTATCTTGTCAGTGTTGTGAGCTCAGTGGAAGACGGATGACCCGGAGCTGCAGACATTCCCAGACCCTGAAAACACTCCTCACCCACCTACACACAGATGCACAAACTGACACACACCCACGCACACACTGTAAATCATGCATGTCTATGGAAAACTGTATCAATGGCTTCATTAATGTAAGGCCCGTTGTCTGGGTCTGGATTAGCTCGGAACTAGTGGAATAGCTGCAGTCTTGTTTTTGGCTTCCGTCCTGGAATGGCAAATTAGACAAGCAAAAAAAAAAAAAAAAAAAAGCTAAGTTAGCCTAATGTTGCTGTTAGCCTGCAGGAGAAACGTGCACTTTGTGGCCCTTTTACACACGCCGAGAGATTTGGTGCCGTTTTTGTTGCTAACAAGGTGGAACGGGATTAACAGCATGTCGGTGCTGTCACAGGGAAACAAACGCTGTGCCATGGCACATTTCACACAGGACAGGGTTCACTCTGACACTATGTGTATCTTTGTGTGTGTGTGTGTGTGTGTGTGTGTGTGTGTGCTTTGTTTTGCCTGACTTGAGGAACTTGCCATCTGGAACTCAGTGCTGACATGGCTGTTCGCTGGATTATTTGTGTTGCAGGGAGACTGTGCAGACCTGTTTCTGTGTTTATCTGTTTGTGTGTGCAGCATGTTTTGTTTTTTTTTCTTTACCTCATTTGGATCTTCATCCAACCATCCTCTACTTTAAACCTATTATTACTCCCGCTCTCTAATGTCGTTTTAAAATCAACCCAACGGCCAACACAGTTTTTGGGAGCAGTTATGACTTCAAAGCCTGTCAGTTGTATTTAATGTCCTTAGCACAGCCTACAGTAGGTCTCCACTGCTGTATTCATCATCATACACAGTGACCCTGTGACGAGTAGGTCTGACAGTGTGTTGTGAAGAAGTGGTTCAGAGGAAGTGATGTCAGGTTAAAAGGGCAGAGACAAAAATAGCTGTAAATGCATTCACATTTAAAAACCACTACTAGTTTTTTTTTTCAATACCTCAGTTGTACTGTGCTCCTTCATTCGTACTAGTTCATTGTTTCTCAAAGACTGGGTCGTGACCCTCATGTGGGTCGCAAGAGTTTTTTGGGGGGGTCGTCTTGCGTCATGTTTCCCAGGAGTTTATGAATAATGTCTATTGACTTGGGTTGTGAAGGTTTGTGACTTTTAAAATATGGGTCGCCAGAAAAAAAGGTTTGGGAAACACTGTACTAGATGGTCATCAGTACTAAAGGCAGTCTGGGTAAGGACTCCCAGGGTTAAAATAACAATAGGAATTTGTAATAAAGGAAATATTTTTTCTCTCTTTATTGTTAACATCTGTAGAACGACTTCCCTAAGTGAAAAAAGTGCCATTTCAGGGCCTCACTGTTTGAAATCACTTCTTTGGATTTCACCTCAGTCATACATACCTAGCACTTTTCAGGCCTTTGTCACATCTGTGTCCCAACACGGTAACCTTGTGCATTTTAGCAGTTCTGAAATGCTCTTCTTTTTGTCCTACTTTACAGAAGCTGTGAGGGGAAAAATATCCGCTACAGAACCTGCAGCAACTCTGTGAGTCGCCTCTTTTTTAACTCAAAATTCTGTCACAACTTGTTACGGGACTAGGCTGGGTCCCAGGGTATTGTTGTAGTAATTTTATCTTACCTGTATAATGTGATTACCCAGCCAGACTTTGTATGTGTGGCTAAAACTGATGCAGAATTAGACACAAATAGAACCTACGCAGGTTCTACATCTGGTTCAACCTGGGTCCAACACCAGCAACAACACCACCCAGTGACCCAGTTGTGGCTGTAATGCAGTGGTTCTCAATTATGTTCTGTCATGCGCCCCCTTGGGGACAGAAAATTTTTCATGACACTCCCCCCAAGGCCCACACCCCCTTAAATTGAAATACTATTGAGAACCTGATAACAACCACTGTATGAGTTGCTGCCACCTAGTGACTGGAGGCTTGTTATCATTCAAGCATTACAGCAGTGGTACACTTATGTTCAGTGTGCCATATTCCATTGGTATCCCCTCACGCCCCCCTGGCACCTCACCGCGCCCCACTATTTGAGAACCCCTGCTGTAATGTAATGTATGTTTTAATGTATTTACTAATAAATGTCAATAACGTGCTTCTTTCAGGACTGCCCTGTAGACTCGGGAGATTTCCGGGCCCAGCAGTGTTCGGCCCACAATGACATAAAGTACCAGGGTGCGACTTATGAGTGGATCCCAGGACCTTACGACCCACTGGCGCCCTGTGCTCTGCAGTGTCAGGCCAAAGACAGAAGCCTTACCGTTGAACTTGCTCCGAAGGTGTTGGATGGAACGCGCTGCCGTGAGGATGCCTTCGACATGTGTATCAACGGAGTTTGTCAGGTAAGGTCATGTTGTCATCAAACATCCAAAATTGGACAGTGGCAGCAAAGGGTGACTGAGGGAGCTGGAGTCTGCCTTAAATAAACAGTTTGGGAAAACAGACATAAGTGGGAGGATGCTGTGTTCGAAGACAACACAAAAGACACGGCCGGAACATCCACAGGAATGCTGTGGTCGGGTTCTGCCGTCTAGTTTGCAGAACATTTGAAGTGAGTGGTGGGAAATCCACTGGTATCTGGGCTGAAGGCTGCAAAACCATAGATAAATATGAAAACTGTTCATTCAAAATCCAAACTCTCAAAGCAGGAATTTGTCTTCAATAAACATCAATAAAAGCAACATAACAAAAGTGGTCTAACATTTGGTCAAGTGAGGTCGTTTTTCTACTGAACTCTTAACGGAGATGCACCCAAAGTGATGGGAAAGTATTTTCACCATTCACAGCTTCATTCCAGCCAGACGTGTAGATAAATTGGAACATTTCAAGGATTCTTGATTTGATCCAACCATTTTCACAAAACCACGTCCTGATCGTTGTAATACTGACCATGTTTTTGGTCAGTGACTAGATAATGCCTTATTTGGGATTAAAACTTGACTGGGTTTTTTAAACGTTTCACAAATAAGTTATAGTAAAATCATATTTAGGTGAAAATTCAGGAACGTGTTTTGATCCAATTTAATAATGAAACTACAGGTATTTTCTTCAAATGTGGATTGCAGTTGTGAAGAATGATCTTCAGGCTCCTAAATGGAATTATGGTTATTGAAACAAGCGACTAGAAGCTGTCAGGAAAGGATAAAACTGTTCTGCACAGTCAGTTCCCACCTCTCACTGGTGTTGAATATCAATTTTAGGTGAGAGAAAAAAGTTTAATGGAAGGTAAACTTTAGACTGTCGAAGAGAAGTTTTTGTGTTTGCCAAAGGAGACTCTCATCAGAGCTTAAACTGAGATCCCAGCTCTGCTCATCAGTAATGAAAACAGTAGTGGTGTTAGTGCATTATAATGCTATCAGCAAGCAAGATTAGCAGTCACCCCGGTGGTCAAATACAAAAGTGAAGTTTCTATAAAACAGTATGGCTTCTACTCACGAGTTCTTGACTTCCAACAGTGTCGGGCTCATTGATTATGAATGCACATTCATTTCATCACACCTCTATGATGTCATAGATGTAATATTCTATCTTTAAAGCAAATCTTTCTGAAGTGACAGCTCAACTTCAGAACACGCTGGAGTGTGGCTTTTGTGATCTTATACTGTTTGATGACATCACCAAAGATTTCTTTGTCACCCTGCATGATGTTTTACTCAGACTGTGTCTCTTTCGCTTACAGCTCCATACTGAAGTAGTTCTTTTTTTATTGTACCTGATGATACAGCAATGGATAAATGTGCAAAGACAGGCTGAGCTACACGATCTCTGGTCTTTGCAGTGTTATACGGCAGAGGTGTTTTTTTTTTTCTTTAACAGTCAGAGAAACACAGTGTTGTTGTTTTACACATTTATTTATATAAACATGCAGTTACACAGTGGTGTTTCATCTTTAAGTCTATGATATGACAGTTTCCTTCTGGCTGTCAAGTGAAGGCAGACATGTTTTCAGATGGTAGGTGTTAATTTAAACCAGTTTCCTGCTGTTGAAATTAGAGAAAACAGACGTCGTCTCTCACAAATACTAAGAATATAGAGATATACAAGGATTTTTAAAATGTAATTACAGATATTTGACTTAGGAATTTTAGTGACCAACTATTCCTGGTTGATATGAAAAAAAAGTCCTCAACTTCAGTAATTTATGTCAACATTGTGAAGTCTGTGGAGACCAGGGTTAAAGACCAATAACGGGCAGTGAACAACTCTTGATGAGTTGCTGAACTCCACCGGTGGTCGTCATCTGTGCAACCCGTTCATTAAAGCGGGTTATAACTTCCCAAACCACCTTGGAACCAAATGAATACAGCACTTTATTAAACAGGACAGGTTTGTTTCTAATAAAGGAGTCACTGGAGATGCTGCGTGTCATTACAGTCAGATGTTGAACTATGAAATGATCAAAGATGGCTGATCTCATCCCCTTAAAATGACTTGGTAAATAAGCTATAAAATAAAGTAACATGTAGTAAAGACCGACATTTTTTTCTCTCTCTCTTCTATTGAGCTTCGTGGAAAATATATGTACTGAGAATACAAAGGTACCCAGACCAGTGATGCCTGGCATCAAACCCACAACCTTCTGTAGGCTGACTCACTCCTCTATATTTACATTATCTGGGTTTGAAAACACCTCTAGGTACTTTGGATATTCGGACAAACTTCACAGGCTAAAGTGGATGAAAATATCTGAGAAAACGACTGGATCAGTCAAAAAGCTAATCCCAGATCTGCCACATTGTTGCACCTCGGTAAAGAAAGTAATCACTTGCCTTAGAGCTGAAAATGTCCTGCTTGCTGTCTTTTGCCAGATTCTGCTGAGATTGATGAGGCCCACGAAGCTCCAACTACAGACTGCTCCCTGAGGGTTGAGTTAACATGTTTTGTACGGAGCCAAAAATACAGAAAAAAAGCCAAAGCAATTAAGATGATCACAAACCTACTTCACTTGTGAACCAATAGACTTGCATCAAGATGGCTTCAGATCTAACTGTGGAAGCCACTGTGTCAGTTTAGCAGGAGCAGCCTATCACGTGCTTCAGTTTTACAGTATCTCAAAGACTGGAGCATTTCAAGTCAGGTGGACTGGTCACTCTCTGCTCTTTAACACTGTGCACAAACTGAATATACTCACCCACAAGGGATAGAAATGTGTAGATTGTCGGTTGTAACAAGTCATAAAAATTCACACAAAAATGGAAGATGTAACATTCAAATGGCCCGAACAAAATAAACAGCTCCAACACACCACAAACTCCAATAATATTTACTAAAAATGCAAAGAACTACAGAGTAATGTGAAAACAATTGTTGCAGCCATTAGGTGGCGATTAGGCATCTTCCATTGAATATGGCTGTAGCTAGGGGGCGTAGCTGCTAACACAGAAAACTTTGGAAAGGCTACCTTTTGGTTTTGGTCACAGTTAGGAAGAACTTTTTGACCTTGTTCTTCCTTTTCCTCGGCACAGTCAGATGTCTCCTCAGAGCCTCTACAATAACAGGATGACCACGCTGTAGTTCTTTCAGAAGCATCGACGCCGACTGAAATGTTTGCACGAGCTCCTGATAAAGAACTTTGTAAATCTTAACTTTCTTAACTTTCTTGAGGTTGACAGTGACGTCTCTGAGCTTGATCTTGCTCAGTGCCTTATCTGACAGGGTGTGGACAATCCTGTTGAAATCTACCTGACACATTGAAACCTGGACCATTTTCAGGGTATACATTAGAAGCGCTGTGACAACTGAAATAACCAGTCTGTACTTTCCAACCTGCTCATCTGACATTTCTGCCAGCTCAGAACTACTTGCATCATCAGAGTGAAACGAGAACTCGGCATCGTCACTGAGCAGCTGCCTGTTTGAATCACCTTCTCCACTATCTGTGATTTCATCACTCAACTCACTGTTTTCACTGTTATCCTCCTCCTCTTCCCCCTCCTGAGGAGGACATAGTGAGATGTGATGCAGAGTTCCTTCAGGATGAAGCCGGTTCTGTGAAAATCGAGGAGAAAGTACGCGAGGCTGGTGAGGTTGTGTTTCTAAGTGTAACTGATCTGTGCTTGGAACAGAAAGCAGGAAAGGCTGGTGAAGATCTGCTCCAGGGTGAAGCGGATCCATAAAGGGAGGAAGAAGAGGGTGACGGAAGTCTGTTCCAGAGTGTGGCTGATCATCAGGAGGAAAGAAAAGAACATGTTGAAAATGTGCTTCAGGGTAAAGCTGATCCTCAAGAGGAAGAAGCGGACGATGGAAGTCTACTTCAGGGCCAGGAATTCCTGCAGGATGTAGAAGAAACTCTGCCTCCAAATCGTCACCATACTGAAAAAATCCATTCATACCAGCAATTTCATTCTCGGCCAGGTGCAGCAGAATGTCTTCTTCCTCTTCTTCATGATCCTCCTGATGTGGGAGTAGCTGAAGAACGTCAGCGTCTTGTAGATCCAGCCAAAACTGTAAAATTCCATTCATGTCTGCAATCCCCTCGTCGTCAAAGTCCTCAATGTCCTCATTGTCCTCGTTTTCATCATCTTCATAATCTTCCTCATCACCATTATCCTCCTCATCGACTTGGTCATTCTCTTCAGACTCTTCGTTCTCCATATGGCCGTCTCCTTCTAACTCTACACTGGCAGCGTTGTCATTCTGTTCCACGTCTACAATGACGTCGTTGTTGTTCTCTATCTGATAGACAAAAGTTGTTTCCTGATAATAGCTCTCGCTCCAGATTTCGCCGTCTTCGTCTTCATTATACATGTAAATACCCTCTGACATGATGACCATAAGAGCGGCTTCTGACGTACTGTAAATCGTCTCGTTGTCTCCCTGTTTTATCACTCGATACAGGGCTTTTCTGTATTGTATGTCTTGTAATGACGCGGTGCTGCTTTTCTCCTCAGGTTGGGGTGTACAGTTGCAGAAATACCTACCTATGCATTCCATTGTTTTACCAGCGAGACGTATCATTTCATTAAGGGTTTCGTAATCAATGCAGTCGCAATCATAAGACATGCCTCCCAAATGCCTTGTGTTTGAGTTCATTTTCCTGGCTATGTAGTAGTTCACCCTGGCTGCTACCTGTTTGGCAACCAACTGGTTAAAATAGTTAAAACTCTCACATTTGGACCATCTAGTCTTCATAAAGTGACAGAAACACCATTCGAGAATGCTCCTCATGTTAACCTGGACATAGCCCTCATCTATACCAAAAAAACACTGGTCACCGTCCACGCTTTGGTATATCCGGGGTTGTTTTATCAGCCACTCCGTGATGACAGGACGAATGCATTCGGTGATGTACGTGATCAGCTCGCGGACGACAGCTTTGCACAGGCACATCAGAATATGTTTATCGAACACATCCCTGATCGAGTCCTTAGGGATCAACTTGTCAAGGTACTGGTGGAATAAAGAGCACGGGATTTTGCTTGGGAAGTTCACATGAGCAATAAGTCTGAGTTCTGATGGGTCCATTGGCTTTTGAACCTGGTTGGGTTTTCTGTCAGGAAGAAGGATCCAGAGCCATGATTATTGCTGTACCATGGTGGTTGCATTACTGTATTGTTCTCCGTTGTGTTGTTCCTGGTGTGTGAAGGCAATTCTTATTCATACTGTGTCTCTCCCACACTATGAATCATGTAGGTGAAGTAGTGGATTCAAGTCATGGTTAGCAGGGGTTCTTCTCGTCATCAGGATCAAAGAGAAAGGACTTTGTTCTTAGTATGACATCATGATGATGTCATGTCAACAGGACCTGACCACCTATCTCAAAGGACTTTGTTCTTAGTATGACATCATTATGATGTCATGTCAACAGGACCTGACGCGGTTTTCCCCTTTAAAATCCTGCTGAGAGGAGGTTTTGTTGAAGACTTTTTTAACTGGCATCAGTGGTACTTGGTTTATGGTTGTAGGGATTTACCTCTGAGGCAAAGCTATCTGTGACCTATACTGTTGGTCAATTCAATTTACACCTGTGTGGTGTAAACGAACCACACCAACAACCTATAGGACTCTTTTTAGTCAAACTAGTCGACTCCTGTTGTTCGACTGTGGTACAGACCACACCAATCAGAGGTTAAAAGTTGACTTGGGACGTGTACTCGTTATTGTACTCGTTATTAAACCATAGACACATTATCTGTATAAAATATATTCTATGATAGAACACAGTTTGTACTGAAAATTCTGAACTAAAAATGTACTTAGAGAAACATAGGAGTCTGGTTAAAGAAATGTTCAATATTTTATTTCCGATACCAGCAATTCAAATATACTGTATGCCTTGGTGCCTCTTAAGTTATTAGTGTGTGGGATTTCATTGGTGCTAATTCCTGGTTAGGTCACATGTTTTAATACCTTCATAATTCTATAAAATGCTACTGTGGTCCTCTATTTCTGATCAAGTTTCATAAAAATACTAAACAACATTATAGCTATCTGAACGGGTTTCTGCTGATAAACCTTTAAAAATTTAATGTACAGAAATAATTACTATTGTAATAAAAAATAATTTAAAAAATGATACCTTTTGCATAGAAAGACATGTTGAAATGTTTGTTTACGGTGTGAATAGAAGAATCTATGTAAACGTCAGTACAGAGTAGAACTGTTTTACTCCAACTTTGCATCGTTAAACATCTGTGACGGTTCACTAACCAGAACTGGGTCTCTTCATTTAAACATTCTTTACACAGGACAAAGAATCAGTCACCAATCAGTACCAGATGTCGGATAAGGGTGATGAGGAGGTTTTTGGCATTGATCAGAACTTTTTAAGAAGTAAGTCAAGTCAGTTAAGAGACCTTGCATTGATCAGCACTCTTAGAAGCCTCATTTATAATTCCACACTCGACACCAAAGATAATTATCACTGAAGAAGTCACAAGTCAAGTTCCACAGGAGAAAGCGTTTCTTGGGGTTATTTTTCTGTAACCAAAAACTCTTTCTTGACTGTTTTTACTGTAAACTTTAAAAAATATATATTTAATTTGATCAAATTTGGTTAAATGAAGTGTTTTTTGTATCTGAGTAAAGAGTTTAAACCTAAGAGGAGCGCAAGATACTCTGGTCTTCAACACTTAGTTTGAAATAATAAAGAAAAGTATGTTTTTATTTATTTATATGTTTTAGCCGAGGTCATAAAGGAGCTGAAACATCTGCACGGAGAGAGCAAAATCAAATGTTTATGACTGTATTTACAGTTGGAAGAGACATAAATGGGTTGGGATTTTCATTCCTCTTTGCTCAACATTTTTGAAATGTACCAATATCATTAGATTTACAACTTGGAAGTCAGAGGTGAGCTGCAGCTCGGATCATACTCAGGTTCATTTCAAGGTGACATGTAGAGACAGACATTCATGTTTTTTGGACTGTGGCAGGAAAAACAGCGCAACAGGAAAGTACCCTGGCGGTCTTCTTGCTGTGGTTCATTCTTGTTCTCAAAGAAGTCCTCACTCCCATTTACCTAACTTGATTCTCTGTAGAAAAGACTTACTAATCTTGTGTATGATATCATTTTGTGGTTACATTTTGTGTGCTCCACCTTATTCCTCAGTTGTACTTGTGGCATTGTGAGATTCTTCAACCGCAGAGTCGACACCAGTCGTCTCATTTGTATTTGGAATTTCTGAGCCTCCCTCGACTTCATCTGTTTGAGGAGGCACATCAACGCTTTCATCCCTGTCTTCAGCCTCCATAGACTCCTCTTCCTCATTAGCTGCTGGCTTCTCAGTGCGAAGTGGTCTGGCTAATTCTGTGGGGATGTAAGATGTAAACGCCTCCCAGGTGGAGACAGGCTGGTAGCCCATTAGTTGATAGTGCAGAGGAATTTCAAGCTTGAAGAAAGGAACTCGTACCGTGACATTGGAATCTACAGGGGGCACAATCAGTTTGTCCAATCCACCAGGAGACAGTGGCTCCTCCAGCGACGAGAAAATAGGAAAAGCGAATGTAAAGACAGTTTTTGGTGAAATGTCGTCACTTTTCTCAGTCTCTTCAACAAACTCGTAGTTCCTCATTAACTCCCTTAAACAGACCAATCGACGGTTTGCGCGACACCTGATCACAACCTTGCGTGCTGCCTGCTGAAATAGTTTAAAGACTCGCTTTCTGAACTCCAGATTAAAGGAGCTGTAAAAGTGGAAATGTGGTACACCTTCTGGTCCCTGTCCCGCATTGCGCAACAGTCGCCAGGAGGTGAGTTTTCTTTGACCAACAGCAAAGAGATTGTCCTTAATATCCTCGTGTTCTCCTGTGGTGTCGCGATGCAGTCTCTTCTGCAGTATATCTGTTCGAGCTTCTTCTGACAGACAGTCCTTGCCAAGACGACGACGACCCCTTACGGCTGCAACCTGCTCCTCTATGGTTTTTTGGATTTCCTTCATAAACTCAGTCTCCTTTGCCTTTCTAAATTCCAAGTCTGTATTACCACTGCTGGTCAGGGTTTCTTTTGGGGCCTTAGAGATCTTTTCCCTATCTTTCATGAAGATCTTAGCAACTCCTGCATGGGTGGAGACTTCTAAAAGAGGGTTTCGACCACCTTGACTTTTCATGGCTGGTGGTTTTCCGGGGTCATTGGTTATCTGCTTAGCCATGGTTTATTTTGTGTTACTATTCCTGTGGAGGACAGGGGCTGGGATGATTTCAAAACTAGAGGTATGAAAAGTTCACTTCAATGTTTTGGATGTTTAACTTATTGCTTCGTGTTGAATTTACTTTTTGGTTGGTTGTAAATGACAGTTTATGGCCTCCATGACAGGAATGTATGCCCTTTTCTAAATTCTTTAACACATCATTTACTCTCCCATCCTTTTGCATCTTTTCAGGTCTTGTCCTTCACCCATTACCAAAGTTTAAAGATCAAAGGATCATTACAGTGAAATTGAGACAATTCAAAGTCAGATCAGACAAAAAAGGTGACATCACAGCGTGAGGTCATTCAGTAGTATAAACAGTAACTTTCAAAATTGGTCATGGAAACTGGGTGTGATGTCATGTTGCAAACCTGTTTTGAAGTAGTAGTCTGCCATTCAATACATCCAAGATGTCTGTGTTATACTCACTCAGTAACTAGCTATTACGACCTAGCGCTACTAACCTAAAGTCTGTCTGCAATCTGATAGCATGGCACAGTATAAAGTCTGTCTGCAATCTGATAGCATGACACAGAAGCAACGAAACTCAAGGGTTACCATCACTTTATTATAAACAGTCATTTCCTGTCAGGGTTGTTGGACATAATAAGAGATATCTTCAATTTTCGTACATATATTCACATGCTAGTTTTTCATTCATAAATATTTTAAAATATATATGACATTTTTTATATGTATTTTTTAATGCTGAACATTTCTCATATTGTTGGCTGTCACTTTGCAGACCACAAAGTCACTCCCACTCAAAATAACACAGTGTACTAATTAAATTCTGAGGTGTTTTCAAAGTCAACATCCACATTCAGCTTGATTTGTCAGTAAAGAGCGGTGGAGACGAGCCTAATTTATTATGACTGGCTGTGGTGAACCAGTCTGCTGGTGACAAATTAACATTATTTTTTTAAATGGCTGGAAAGCACTGATAGACAGACAGGTGGAGCAGACACTATTGGATCTTCGTTCCTGCTGGACGATTCATATATACTGTAGAGACAGGTTTGGTCTGCAGACCAACAGCACCGACACAGGGAAAATGAGAAGGAAGATTTATTTTTCATGACTGACCAGGAGTGCTCCTGCAGTCAGGGGACTCTGTAAGCAGTCATGCAGTGATTTAGTGTGACAGAGGTAGACAGTGATACTGGCTGCAGAGAGCGAGGTGAAGCTGTGTCCTCCATGATTTCTGTTGAGAAAGACCTTCACTGCATATACTGTTAGTAATTCAAATTCCAAGTCATATTTTGGTTCTCAAAAAATGTTTTCCCTTATTATAATACATGCATCAAATATTGAGTTTTTTAAGACAACGTCCACTTTTCTTCATCAAATTTTACGATGTAATCTTTGAGGGTCTTGGGAAGGTTTTTTTTTACATTTAAACTTCTATTGGAAATAAGGACTTGCTGAAAATCTGTATCATTATCTGGAAAAACGTCTCAGGAATCATTGTTCCACATGTTTTGATTGGTTCCTTTCCTTATTGTATCTTACTTGTGAAGTATTTTGAAAGTATTGACAACTTCCCTTTCCTTCCTTTACATGGGGTTCAATACTTTATTGGTCTTGGTATTTTTAAAGATCCTGTTATCCAATTGGTCAATCAGGCAATTGTAGGCCACAAGGAAATATGTTCACATTGAATAGAAACATTGTGTTGCAATGTGGTTTGGGAATATTTGTTAACGCTCCCATTTTCAGACATAGGAGTCGGCAACATTTATTTATTCAAAAACACTATTGTCTACTTTCCTTGCTATGCTCTTTAAACCACAAAATAAACTGGAGTTGTGGGCTGTGATTTTGTGATTTTTTTATATAGATTTGAGAAAATTGTTATATTTTGTTTCAAGACCATGGATAAAGAAGAATTCATGGTTCTAATAAATAGTTTCCAGCATTTATTGCATAATTCAACCTTCAACTTTTTATACATCGTGAGGATAAACGCACTATTGCAGACATTCTTTCAGCTCTTTCATTATTAGTACGGTCAAGGACTCCATGTAAGGAAACTTCCATTTCTCATTTCCTGCAAGCTTGTAAAACCTAACACTCTCTGACTTCGGTTTCAGTTCGTTGGCTGCAGCTTAGACACTCTGAATTCAACTCCAGTGACATGAAAAGATTCTCCTAATGAAAAGGGGAGTTTCTTTTTTTGTTCTAACACAGGCTTACACAGACTTTTTTGTTTCATCATTAAACCTAACGTTTCAGCACATAGAACGTGTGCAGCAAGGACTGTAAAAGGATGATGTATGTGTGCCCACACAGCAGACGCTGCAGGAGAGACCCTGAACACAGCAAAGATGTAATGGTGTCGTATGGTGATGGAGGCAGCACTGCAGTGATGGGAGTCAGTGGTGGTGGAGCAGGACATTTGTCAGTGATGGAATGAGGCCAGTGCTTCCTCTGGTGCATATGGATTAATAATACAGCACGGAGCAGCAGGAAATCCAGATGTACACGAGTCACAGATAAAATAAATACAATTCCTGTGAGGAACGTGAAAGAGAGCTGCACTGTGGAACGTTGTGTATCCACGTGTCTGTTCTGCTTCGTGCAGTCGGCCTGTCACAGCAGCTCATCCTGCCTGTCACGGCAGCTGGACTGAAGTCGGTGAGAACATAAACAAACTCACACCTACGATACATTCTTAAAAGACGGTCTTAGACTTTCCAATCAGAGAGTACCTGCTCACAGAGAGGTATGAGGTATTGAAGAGTAACTAATACAATCTGGATTTTGTCAGACGATGATGGGTCAAGACTTGTAACTTTGTGCCAAACTTTGCAGGAGAATTGTCTGTAAATTCTAGTCTACAGTTTCTCAGCAACAGACAAGGATGTTGTCACTCAGGCCTGTTGTCATTTATGGTTAATATTAATTCTTAAATAAATCTTGCATCACAAATCCTCTAGACACTGTATCATGGTACAAAAAAGAAGGTTGAGGTTCTTTCGTTTTGTGCTACAATGCTATTCTTGCAGTTCTGTGTGTGTAAGGCCAATAAAAAGGACCATTTCAGTTGATAGAGCTGAGGTGAAAGGTCATCTGTGGTCAGATTAGTCTAAGTCTATATAAAAGTTATCATCTATGATGATATCGCAGTGCAGCAGTGACCATAACATCTGCTTATACCAGGGGAACTGTATTTCACATCACAACCTGACTTCAACAGGTGCTATTTGAGTTTGGTTAGAAATGTTGATGTTTGTGCTGAAGAAATTTTTTTTCTTTTTTAGGCTTGTAAAAAAAAGACAAATTCTAAAACATAATGGTATGAAGTTGGTTGGAAAAGCCAGAGGGACTTGTCTGAGTATTTTGGGCAACCTATGGCCCGGGGGCCAGATGCAGCCCATTTGCGTTATTGATCCGGCCCGCCAAACCTGTGCAAATTATATTATTAATTATTATTATTAAGAAAATATATATTAATTGTAAATAGAAATTAGATTTAAGGGATCAGCTAACCTAACTGACGTTTGCTTTGGAGCTTATTTGTGGCTATCATTGTTATTCAGTGTATTCAGTTATTTTTACCTTCAGCAGTATATTGACTTTAATCATTAGAACATCTGTTTGGAAAAGATTAGGGTCTAATTTATGCCTTGGTCTGAAGACAGCTTCAAAAGAGAAGCCCACGGTGTGAGTTGAATGTCACAGTGAACCTTCGGTGTGTTACCGCCTCAACACATTGCAGTGAATTGCAAGAAACACTTCATGCTTGAAGGCTGAGCTCAGAGGGAAGAAAACCAATTAAATCAGCCTGGATATTGGTTTTCACTTTCACATAAATTGGAAATAAAATTTGTTTGGCGCGCTACTTTCATTCACGTATCCTTGCTTCATTCTGTTGAATTCAATACTGCAAATAAGACACATGGGCATAATCCGATTTCTTTCTTTTCTTTTTTGGGTTTAAGTTCGATGCAGTCCAAGCATAGGAACATTAGATTTCTAAACTAGCGTCCCTTGTGAGAGCCTGAAGTGAATGCCGCGATGATTGGTGGTATAAATACGTCTGCAGCCAAATCTGCTTTTGACACTTCAAAATCTTCACTTTGATACTTGAAGAATTCTGAAAACTGAAGAAAACTCTGAGCCTCCACAATATTGATCATCTTTCAGGAGTTATTAATATTAAAAGTCTGACTCGGTTTCAAGTGCTATTTGTGCACTAGACATTTACGATATGGGAGGACCTCCAGGAACGTCATCCAAACAGACAACAGACAATAAAACGTCGAAAATCACATCACAATTTATATTTTAGACAATGTTTTCCTACAACTCTGAGCCCAGGGAATTTTTTTTTTCAACAGGACATTTTTAGCACTTGACTGGCAGCCACAGAGTCTAGACCTGAATATGACTAAAATTATTTAGGAAAATCTAGATGGGAAGAAAACAGCATTCATAGAACTTTCTAGAAAATTCAAGATATTCTTTAAGACTAATATTGTTTGTTGATTAAAAAATCCATATTAATGACAATTACAGAACCTTGAAATAATATTTTTTTTAAATCACAAAATATTTAAATTATGCTCTAATTGGGGAAAAAACATATATATATATACATATACGCATATATAATGCATATAAAAATAGCCGTAATCAATCATCCATACAGTTACTACATTTACAGATGAGTAAATAAACAGACCGTCCAATAATTAATTCATTAATGAATTGAAGTCCTGGCCCTTCTTTATTTGTGCAGTAGCACGTGTAATTTAAATTTAAAGTGTACTTTAGTACTTTTGTCTAAGTCCAGAGGCCATTCCATTTTGTGTGTGTGCAGGAAGTGGGCTGTGATCGACAGCTGGACAGCGGAGCCAAAGAGGATAACTGTGGCGTCTGTGACGGTGACGGCTCCACGTGCCAACTGGTGCGAGGACAGGCCCTGCCTCACCTGACACCAGAACAATGTAAGTATCTGACCACAACATTGGGAGTGAAGCCTCTGTCTTTATTACTCGTGTGTCTTTATTTACCGTCTTTCTATGTCTGTGCTTCACGTTGTCAAAGCTAATCCTTTATACTTAGCACCCTCTCACATACCCTGATTCCTTTTCAAATACGACAGACAACAGGTCTAGCTGTTAGCTTTCTAAAAAAAACACTTCTTCTGCCCAGGCTGGAAAATTGGCTGATTCTTATAAAAGGTTGTTAAATTGTCCTTGAAATGTGGATAATAGATCCTTTTTTTGTGAATTGCCTTGTAAAAAAATAGCAAAGAATTGCTCAAAATGAAAGAGTATGTAGAAAAAATACGATGCCGAGCTACCCAGGACTAGCTAAAAGATTAGCAAACAAATCAAAAGCAAAAATATTTCCAAAAACAACTTAAGGCTTCCCAAGGATTAGCTAACAATCAACTAAAATACTTACAGTAATGATAAGGTGAAACCTACTTAAATATTAGCAAACAAAAAAAAAAGAAAAAGAAATAGCAAAACCTTGGAGAAAACAATAACTAACATTTCTGTAACGCAGGACCAACAACTGATTAACTTTGGTAAACTACGCCTTCAAAATATCACCCATATTCACGTCTGTTTCAGCTCAGATTTTCTGTGGATTTTGTAGCAAAACATGAACTTGGTTCATGGTCCAGTCTCCTCCAACATGTTACAGAGCTGGTTTAGTGTCTCCCTCCTGGGACTCACCTGTCCTGGCTGTGGACCAGCGTTGTGTTGCTCCTCCAGGAGCGTCCCTGGCCTCTGGTCTGCTCTCCTCTGATTGTCTTCGGCTCTAATTAATCAGGGCTGGACTTTTTAACTGCCATCTGTTGGCAGCAGCTCTCGACCAGATGGAGCCACACCATTCACACACCAGTAGATTTTTTTTCCCTCCAACATTTTATGAGATTTTACACAGAGACACTGAATGAGCAGGTGTTGTTGTGGTCAATCTTTTTTCTTTTTTTTTTTGCTTTATTTGTGTCTCACATGTTTTGCCTGTTAATGCTGTAAAACATTAGGATTAAACTCTTTTCTGTGGTCAATTTTTGTTAGTGTACATTAGATTTCGAGAATAATCCATAAATAATCCATCCTTCAAAGTTTCTCCTTTTCTACTTTGACTCCATCTCTAATTTTATGAAGTATCTTCAGGTTCCCTGAAGAAGACGTGCGCAGTTACTAACACTACTATTGCAAAAACATAGACTCCCACCTTTGTTCATCCTTATCCTTTATTCATGACTTCACTGTTCACAGTTTGCATTTGGAATTTGAATTAGCTGCAGTTCTCCCTCAAGTCTGAGACGAGCAGTCTTAAAAATAAGCTCATATAACTGTTTATCTGTGTTTTATTGGACTCATTTATTTGTAATGTGATTTTTTTTTTCTGAAAATACTTGGCTTTACATTTAGTCTCCACTTTAAATTCAGGGAGGGGAAAACACGTCCACGACTGCAGATGAATTCAGTTCATTACTTCCATAAATCAGAGACGTTGCAGATGCAGTTTCCAGGCCTAATTACAGTATGGCTCCCAGCCACGTGCTTCTTAATTGTTTGAGCTCATTAGACGCAGAAAACATACCTTTAATACAACGTTAAAAATAGAATCAGGAATCCTTCCACTCTCTCTTCTCCGCCACACCTCCTCACATAATCACACGGGGAGAAACAATCCTTCGGCGCACATTCAGGGGGAAAATCTGGCCAGCTGAAAACAGCAGTAAATACTTTTAATAGTTGAGCTCGGTGCTGTTTGTGTGCACCGTGTGCACTCTCCTCTGAGAGTCTAATGATTGACTGGTGAGTGAAACTGGTGTTTCCCGGTGCCTGTGAACATAGCTCAGGTCTGCGGGGTTGTTGGGTGCAGCTGTAAAGCAGGCAGATTTAAGGATGGCAGTGACTGGAGTGTGCGGTGGTCCCCCATAAGTCAGGGCTCTCAAAACAGTGAGAGGCTGTTACCTCAGGCAGGGGGACACAGTTGAGGAGAAATTATTTTTTTACAAATGGGATGTCAGAGCAAGATGCTTTTATTAGTTTTGATTTTCTCCAGTGGGTTTGTTTATAGCAACATGGAAACTCTGGCTTTTTATGGATTTGGAACCAGGGGGCCACCAGCATTCAGACCAGTGTATTATATATATATAGAGAGACTGTAGTGTAAAACATGTGGGTAACACTGACCATATATTGTATCAAACGGTGGATCTCCCTGCATCGAGGCGTGGGACTTTACCTTAGCTCTTCAATCATAGAAGTTTTTATTGAAGCTCTCAATTTTAATTGTGTGATGGACCAGAGAGACATATATATAAATATTTATTTAAATAATGATTTTAACTATAACTGGTTATTGTTAGTTTTACGTTTTTTATTTTAACTTTTTAGAGGTATTTTGCTGCTGCCATTGCATGGATCTCAATAGTATAATTACTGGTGAAAATAACATTAAATAAAAATATGTGTATATATATACATTAATATAAATAATAATACTGTACTGATTCACATTTCCAATGGCACAGCTGGCTCACAACAAGATGGTCATGCTTTTGTATTTTGTTCATTCAGCTGGATTTAGGATAAGCCATGTGTGAATTTTAGGAGTGATTTGTGCTTCAAAATAAAAAAATAAAAAGAAATGTCTGTGTACAGATACACTGTGTTCCATATTGACTAACAGTCATGGGGTTTTTTTCAAGATTTTGTTTTTACCCTAGGAGCAAAAAAGATGACGAAAACATATTTGAATTAAAAATAAAACACTGCAGTGATTTAATGTTTGAAATAGTTTCTTTTTTTTTTAGTATTTATTTCTCCACATTTTCTTTGTCTGCAGCTCTAAATACCATTCTGGAGGTACCGGTGGGAAGCCGCTTCCTCAGACTCAGTGCCAAAGGACCTGATTTCATTGGTGAGTAACACAACCTTTACATTTTTTTTAAAAAAAAAGTTAATTTTAAATCAAGTTTAATGAATCACCAGAGCCAGAAACTTTCTCCCTGTGTCATCCCAAAAAATGAATTAAGACAAAAATCTAACAGCAGTTAGTCTTTCTTTCCACTGCAGGTAAATTACACTCATTATTTTAGACTTTTCATCGTAAAGAAAAGTAGCTTTGTATAAATCGCAGTGTTTATAATAAAACACTGTAAAACAAAACACACTTTGAGTGGGAGTGGAGGGCTCAACATTAATGGGGGAGTGTAATGGGGGGGGGGCAGACACTGTCTGGAAACTGCTGGCCCAAGGAATGCTGAAATACATGCAAATGAATCCTTTTGTCCTTATGTGGCCTTTGCAGTATCACCGTCTGTAGATGACGCAATCAGAGAGCGTCTCGGCTCGAAGCGTGTTCAGAGAGTTCAGGTTTTACCTGTAAAATATCTTCTGTAACCAAACCACCCTCGCAAAACAACAACATTCACTGAAGTACATGAATTTATGTAAAAAACCTCAGATAGAGTGGTGAAATATAAATCATAATTATTATTATTAATGCTAATGCTAATAATAATAATAAGAAGAAGAAGAAGAAGAAGAATACCTAGGTCAGACCAGATGTTATGAAAATATAATAACTCCTCTGTTAATATCACATTTACAGAAAGGTCATGAACTCTCTTTCACTTTCTCTCTGCTCCACCGCGCTGCTAACGCCTGGTGGTTGATGAAGGGTCTGTTAAAGTAATTGCTGGGTCACATCTCAATTCCGCAGCATCCGACAAAGCACACGTGCAGTAAATCCTGCAGCTTTTTGGAGCCTGCAGAAACTTGAGTGTATTAGCAGGGTGAAGGTTGTGGACATGTGCTGGATCTGCTCCATTCAGCTGATGATAAAACAGGTCAAGAAACCCCACATGACAAACAAATACTTAGCTCGCACTGGACACATAAATCACATTTCTCAGTCTAAGATTGTACTTTTTTTTTTAATTTATTGCCAGACTGACAATATTAAGGATAAAAACACATTCCTATTTACCCAGTACTCCCATCTAAACCATTATTATACAGGCCACATGGTGAGGGAAATACCCCTGATGTTTAAATTCCACTTAAACTCTGTCCTTTCTACGAGGTGGACTTTGAATGTTAGAGCATTCCAAAGTGTAAAAGCTACAAACTTTAGAGTACGAACTCCAGCAAACAATTTATGATCTGAGTAGCAAAGAACTTGACAAAAATCAGGTATTATCTTTGGCTGATAATCAACATATTCAAAAATCAGGTATTATCTTTGGCTGATCAAAGATAATGATCAACATACCTAAAATACAAAGACCTGGTTACACACATGCACGTGCACAAGAAATTAAAATACCCAAATATAAATGTTCTTATTCTAGCCTGTAGTATATATAAATATCTGTAAGGAGTACAAATATACTATTGTTAATGAACAACTTTGACTTGATAAACCTTGGCTCATGTTTTTCTGTTGTAAAGCCATTTTATTAGTCAAGATGTTAGCACTTGATGTTAGCACACATTTGCACCTAAAGATCCATAGATTTGTATCTATATTTACATGTTGACCTTGTACTTTTATTTTATTTATGTTTCTGTCAAGGTTCTTTTTTCTTTTCTTTTTTTATATAAGTGAAACAAAGCATCACTTGCTAACTTGCTAATTTACACGTTTAGCTTGTGAATTAGCTAGCCTAGCTTGAGAGTCTATACAGTAAAAAATTACAGTCCCTAACCCTGCCACGGCCAATGATAAATCACTGTTGCTGGGCAAAATCACCGTTTTTATTCTTATTAGAAAAAGTTCGAAATATAAGGTGAAAATGTGACAGCGAAATGACAGCATCGAGGAGCTGCTGTCACGGTATGTGAGACTCCACTAACATCTGGGAGAGCAAAGACACTGGGGCTCGTGACACTATTCTTAGTCCATGTCTTTCCCAAAGCCATAAAGTTGGCAGTTTGACTGTGAAATGTATTTTTAGGCGTGTTATTCTTTTCGACTTGTAAAAGTCTGTGCAGTCAGTTCAGGGAAACAGGTGTTCCAGCTATAAACAGCTGTGCTCTGCCGGTGCAACAGTTACTCTGAGAGTCAGGAGAATGGCTTACCATCTGTGACACCATGCTCAGCACTGCCTGGTGACAGTGTATCTGCAAAGTACTGTACAGTACTGTATTGTAGTACTCTATTTATGTTTCTATCTATCTATCTATCTATTTATCGATCGATCGATCTATCTAGCTAGCTAGCTAGCTAGCTGTCTATCTATGCTATATATATATATATATATATATATATATATATACAGTATATACAATATATATATCTACATATATATATTGTTTTTAATCAATACATTCATCTTAGTCTGTCTTAAAGTGCTGCTACAGGACATTTAAGACAGTCTCACTTGGTCTTTCTGCTATTGTGATTTATAGGCTGCATGGTACTAACTTTAACATTTTTATGGTTGGCTTTTTATTTGGTCAGTTTTCTGTGGGTTGATGTTAAGATCTATTGATAAGAAAAATCGCGGAGTCATCACTGTAGCTACGGCAGGGTTACACCTAAGGGAAAGTGAAGCTACTTCTTTTATGATCCTATTCTGTGTACGTGTTCTTTTAGGTTAATAAAATAAATAGTGAACGAGAAGTTTAACGGAGGACAGGCCAAATGAAAGAACACTGTGTGGGATTGACAGATTAGATCAATGTAAATGGAAAAAAAAGTGACTGCAAAAAAAGTTCAAAACCAATAACAGGTTTTTAAAAAAATCTAAAATTAAGATAACAATGAATTAAAATATTAAATCAATTATAATCAACCCCTGACTTTAGCAATGGTTCCTTTTTGTATAGTTACACAGGGAAATCATACCTGAGGTGTGATGTGGCCTCACTTTGTCATCCACTTAATCAACTAAACAACGATTGTTAAAACACTTCTCTAGATGAGACCACGTTGAAGTGCTGAGTGTCCTCTAACATGTCTCCATTTTCCTGTGTCCTCTCCTCAGTCATCGAAGCTGTGTCTCTCCAGGGGCGAAGGGAGGAGACCAGTCTGATGTCCACAGGGTCCTACGTGATCGGTAACACATCGCTGGACTTCCAGAGAGGGACAGACCGACAGACACTCAGGACCAGCGGCCCACTCCACTCTGATTACATCGTTAAGGTGAAAGAAAACAGGGAACTGCGAACTGAGCGTGGACATAATTTATTGTCTGTGCGAGAGAAATAGCATTAGTAAATTGTTCTGCTGCGTGATGTATTGGACCGCAGAGCGCTGCAGTCATACTGAGAGTTTAAACCAAATGGTATAAATGTTGGTTGTTGCTAAGATGAACTAATCACCTCATCATGCCTAATGACTTCATTGATTCTCACTGAGGTTCTAACCTCAGAGAAACCACAAATCAGGCATTCTCTCGGCGGGAGTCTTTTATTTTATTTCATTTTATTTTCATCATCATGCCATCACTTTTTTTTTCTATTGAAAACGTCAATCCCATTTTTTATTACTACTTTGTTGACATGGCAGTACCACTCACAGATGACACAGGATTAACCTTCCAGCATCTGTGTCACCAGTGAGATGTTTGAAATTAGGCCAAGACCTAAACTAAATTAAAACAAAAAAGTGGAGGAGAGACTCTCTGTAAATAAACAAGAACATGACTCACTTTTTAAAAGTCCTCTTCACAGTGTTCAATAAGTGGTTTGTTTATTAAACACCGGGAGGAGGACATAAAAAAAGCAATTTATATGCAGTAGAACGCAGGGTGGAAACCATCAGCTGTAACTGACGGTGTCTTTGTAAACCTGCTGCTGAAGATCCTGAAGCTCAGTGTGAATGTATAACTGGTATTAGTGGCAGAGATGGCAGTGAGTCCCGGACCCAAATTGCATCCGTCTCTTTTAAAGCAGATTTCAAACATCTTATTTCCATTTGACAAATCCAGCTTTAAAAAACCAAACAGGCATGTTCTCTGCTGTCGGCATGTCTGCCTTCACGTGGATTCTGGTAATTTAACTGATCCTTTTTGAGTTACATCCAAATCCTGGATTTCCTGCAGTTTATCTGACAGAGAGAGAATAAAGATTTATCCTGTTTATGTTGGAGACAGAGCTCCAACTCAACTGCATTTACTCAGTCTGTCAACAGCTGCATGCTTCTCTGTCTTCCATTTTAAAAAGCACATTTCAATAAGGTTTCTCTTCTAAAAAAAGAAAAAGAAAAAAGATTACTTCCAGTCCTGTGGAAGCCCAAAACAAGTCAGTAACTATATTATTTTTATTAATATTATTCTTGTTGTTGTTATTATTATTATTATTATGTAAAAATGTATAATTCATGATGCTGGTGTTAATGGAATACGTTATGTGCCAAACTCAGGCCCACTGCGTAATTATATTTGGCCCGCGAGATCATATCAAATGTGTACGAGAGTTGGCCCACCAGTATATAGTCTTGCAGGATTTGTAGTATTAGCGTAATAAGAAACAAATACCACTGATGTGTGTCTTATTTCAAATGTAATTTCTCATGTGTTTATAATATTAAGCTTTGGTTGTTCCAGATTCAATGTTTATGCAAAGTTTGTTTCCATATGAAAAAATTCTACATTACATATCTGGAGAGAAAGACAAATTTGGCCATTTGCTGTTAATTTTTCAATAAACATTAAGTTTGGCCCGCGACTTCGGCCCAGTGTTTAATTTTGGCCCACTGTGAATTTGACAGATCTGGAATATTCAAACCCTGCTTGTGCTAGGTCACATGTTCCTGACCTGCTTTGTAAACATCTAAACACTGACCACTGATCTCTCTTCTCTGTCCTCTCTGCATATGAATCTGTCATGTGTCCAGCTGAAGTACGGCGGCCCCAAGGACACGGTGGTTCAGTTTTTATTCTACCAGCCAATCAGATACCAATGGAGAGAGACTGACTTCTTCCCGTGCTCTGTTACCTGTGGTGGAGGTAAGGAGAGCATCCGTCACCAGAACGGTTCACGTTCTTACAGTCATCAGACAAAGCTGAAGGTTCGGCTAACTCCAGAAACATTTGTGACGTTTCTGCTCGTCCTGCAGGTTACCAGCTGAACTCTGCCGAATGCTACGACATCCGATCCAACCAGACTCTGCCAGAGCACCACTGTAAAAGCTACCCTGAAAACACCAAACCCACACCGAAGCTCAAGGAGTGCAACATGGACCCCTGCAAAGACGGGTAGGACCATCACTGTTTCCTTTTAATACCAGGATACTAAAGTTTTTTTATTCAGTACTTGGCAGTATTCTGTTGAAAATGGATTTAAACTCCTTGCTCTACCATGGTATAGAAACAGATTTTTATTCTATATCTCAACCCTGGAATTTAAAGAAAAAAAGTGAAACTTGTTACTGTACATGTTTTGACCATTTCTACAGTCATGACAGCTGTCAGGCAATTTTATTGCCTCGAAATCTGACAGTCTTGCATTATTGTTTTTCTCCTGTAGTGATGAGTTCAAAGAGGTGATGCCTCGGTGAGTACCAGTAAAATACACACACTTCTTCATCGCCGCTTTCTTTTTTTCGTTTGGAGTATTTCCATTTTGGACAGTGTGTTAAAAGGAAGTGAGTGGGTTGAAAGTGTTTGGATTTGTTTTCTTTTTTTTTTTTTAATAGAGATTACTTTTTCGAGCAGGTCTATCAGTGCACCCTGCAGTAGCGAAGAGACAAAGTCCCAGTGAAAAAGTTTGTGAATAAGAGTTATGGAGACTCCTTACATCACATTAAACGCTCCTCTCAGCGAGCGCTGCTGCCGTAAATCCTCTGCACAAGATGCTGCGAAGAATTTATGTCCACGAAACAGAGGCATGACAGCTCTCCAAAGCTATTAGGCCTGGTTTCATAGAGTAGGATATACAGATGTACTGTAATACTGTGGTTCAGTCTGGTCTTTGTTTTCACATGAGAGATTTTTATTTTTTTACTTAAATGATTGACAGTGACACTGACACTGATACTGAAGGTGACTTTTTGGAAGTAATTCAAACAGCGTACTTTACTGTGGTAATAGATGAACCATGACTTGTTATAAATTAACATTTATTAGAAATTGTTGTTGACGTTATTCTCTCATGGACATTTTTGTCATATTGAAGTCACGTTGTTTTAATACAAAGTTAATGACTGATAATTCACACGTAGACTTGTTTATGTATAGTCTATCAGGGCCCTAGTTCAGGTCAAGTTTCAACTCCCGGACTCAAGCATCAATATCAATAATCCCACAATTGTCAGTCTGGTGGCTGATGGAACCACATTTGCAAAGCCATGAAGGATAAGTTTCATTTGCAAATGTGGCTCGATGCGGCTCACATTGGTACATAACTCAGAATATTGGCCTCCATCACAGCTGCCATAGCAACCAACAATTTAAAAATGAACATCATGGGCATCACTTTGCACTTACATATTCATGATACAGTGAAGTGATTTAGTTGATGTCAGGCCATGTGTTAAATTCAGTTACAATGTCCTAAAGCAGACGAAGCAAAACATCGTTTTAACAAAATGTTGAGCTAAGACCAGGCTGTTAGCTCAGATGGTTGAGGTGTGGAGTCACTGATCTTCAAGAAGAGCTGCCCGTTCACTACCATTTTATTAAAGTTATTGGTAGTCTAACTGCTGATGTGTCTGATTTGACCTAGGCTAAGTCAGTCAACTAAAAGTTGCCCCTGGTGGTGATACCAAGTAGGAGGCCTGTGGTTTGAAGTGCTGTACTTTGCTTCAATATACCATACATAAAAGAGTATGAAGTAAAATAAATGACATACAGTTGTTCTACCTTCATCTGTGAGAGTTAAAGATTGAGAATCCCTTTCTCTGAACCTACCACAGTTGTACACACGGAGGGGGAAAAGGTGAAAAATCCATCTTCATTTCATTGTGTCCTAAAAAAAACTGTTTCCCAGCAGCTGTCTCCCAAAGCAAAGCATTGCTCATCAATCACCACAGGCCTCTCTCCTCCTCCACTCTGACTCCATCTATCCACTGGGGAGAATGAGCAATCCACTTCTGCATACAAAGTTTTTTTTGTTTTCTTTTTTTAAAAATAATTCCTACCCGAAGTCGTTTGGCTGTGTGCTGCATCAGTGTGGTGTTTTCAGCTCCCTGAGCTCATTCCCTCAACGCTCCGGTCATTCAGCTGCTGCTGACAGACTCACACCTACACCAGCACAGGGAAGAGAGCAGCAGTAAGACGTCAGTCCCCTTAGACATGCTTGTCTGCCTGTGTGTGTGTGTGTGTGTGTGTTTGGAGTCTTCACTGATGTGTGTAAATCAGAATGTGAAAGTCTTTTTTCCCAGAAGGCCATCATACTCACAGGTTTGTGTGTATGTGTCACAGTAAATTTTGTCAACGTGGAGAAAGAAGCTTCTGGAAAATTTGCACGGCTGAACCAACTGACCAATGGAGAAGGAGGTCGTAAATTGACAGCAGCAAATGTTTTTCTTTTTTTGTTGCCACTTCATTATGTGATCATTTTTATAAGTATGTGTTTACCATTAGTAATAATAAAGTCCTGGACTAGGGCCACGTGGTGGAAGAGTGGGCTGTGCTCCTGCCTTACAGCAACAATTGGCTCCAGTCTCTCTGTGACTCTGAAATGGATGGAGCATTAGAATATGAACGGATAAAGTCTGAGGACTTTGATATGCAATTGTTTTGTTGGTTGGTTGGAAAAGTTATCTATAGATGAGATAATCAAAGCCCTGATAAAATAAATCTAGAAAAGGTTTATATTTTATTTGGTTTTGCCAATGTTTTTAGGTTATTTTTTTTCTCGCTGTCTTTTTTCCCGTATTTTTATTTGGTTGCTAAGAAGGTAGGTTGGTCAATGTAATTGGTAATAAACGTTAATGATGCTGTTTTAACTTATAATTGTGTAAAAAGAAAACAAAATATTTCAAGTTTGGCGTCAGAGACAATGAGGATTTCATTTAATATGTGCTTGATTAAAGATCTTCACGGTTTAGGATTTCATCTTCTGTAACCCAACTTTAATGTCTGTATCTACACCAAAACATTAATATCCTGCTCTGTTCACAAAGACTAAATGTTCCCAAATGCAAAACGTTTCACTTTTACATGCAACACTTTGCCTGACATGAGCCTGCTGTACTGTTTGTTTCCAACAGATGGGAGCAGGGTCCCTGGACCCAGTGCTCAGTGTCCTGCGGTGGTGGCTGGCAGGAACGCAGCGTGATGTGTGTGGAGGAAGACAGTCAGGGACAGTTCTCCCAGGTGGAGGAGTGGAAGTGTACCCACTCCCCTCAACCTGTCACCAGGCAGACATGTAACACTTTCTCCTGCCCCCAGTGGGTGGCCATGGAATGGTCACAGGTTAGAACATGTGTATTGATGCTCCTATTAACTGCGTGAATATATTATCCTTGGAAACATGAGCATGTTGCCATTTATAAACGCTGTGATGTGAATTTAAATCCACTTATCTCATTCCAGTGCACGGTGACGTGTGGGCGTGGCTTGCGTTACCGTGTGGTTCTGTGCATTGATCATCGCGGCCAGCACATCGGAGGCTGTGAGACGTCACTGAAACCTCACGTTAAAGAAGACTGTCTGGTCCCTGTTGCCTGCCACAAACCCAGAGGTGGGAAACTTTTTTACTTTTTACTGAAGAGCAAACATGTTTGTCAGCAACCTGTGTGTTTTTACCAGAATGTCAATATTGTTTACATCCCGGTTACTTGGTTAAATCATTTCTTGAATCTGTTACATTTGCTATAAAAAACCAAATGCTGCGAAACATGCAATTGCATGCATTTTTTTACTTTAAACAATGGCCTCAGCACATTTGACTTTTAACTGCTGACCTGAGGAAGGAAGGAAGGAAGTCTTTTATGAGGCAGTGCAAATTATTCCAGTAACGCTCTGACTTCCTCACCAGTGGCCACATGTGCACTGAGACGACTAATGTATTCAACCTTATGTTCATTTATACTACTGTAAAAGAGCTAGCATCAGGAGTGACAAACTCAATCACTCACGGGTCCTAAATTTAAAACTCAGTCTAAGTTGTGAATTAAGATTTATTTAACAGTCTAGTGCTGGCAGACCAGAAGCAGAAATACTATTTTTTGAAAAGACCAGAATAAAGCTAGCTTGAAAAGCCTCATTATTTTTAGCAGGAACTTTGGTGAACACCTCCGTCGACTTCTGCAGTTTGCTTTTTAATTCTTGAACCAGTTGCTGTTGTTCTTGCAGGCTAATTTTAGCACACTTCTCTGCGTTTGAAGCCAGAATTGTACTCCTTCATCACCAACACTGCCCCATGGCATAAAAGACACACCGGTTTTTCCCCTTGGATTCCAAATATATATCTGCCTTCTGGGTAACCATTCTTCTACTTGGACTGTATGGGATTCATTGTTTATATTTCCATTTACCTGGATGCCATGAGACGGGTCAAAATCTGATCTGCTTGCATTGACTCTACACTATACATTTATATTAAGGCAACCATATGCACATTATGCTACACAAAGTGACGTGGATGGTCAGAGTCGGTCTGTGGGCCTAAGGTTTAACATTTGTGGTATGAAATTGAAGGACAGTATGCCTAATTGCCCCGGCATCTGCATTACAAATGTTGTCTCTCTGTCAGAGTCCCTGCCAGTGGAGGCCAAATTCCCCTGGTTGAAACAGGCCCAGGAACTGGAGGAACACCATACTGCAACAGAGGAGCCCACGTGAGTACATGCACACAGCATTAGACACAATTTGTCACATCATGCACTGTGAAGACTGTGGGAAAATATTTCCTGCTTTTAGAGGAGGTCAACCTCCAGGGACCGTCTCTCACTTTGCCAAAACCTCTGGTACTTCCGACAGTCAGCAGCTTGAGGATTTCATTACACAGCTGTGTGTACAAGCTGGAGAGACACTAGACGTTTTACATTTATAGTGCACTGACATGGTGGAAGGGTTTTTATTGGTGGAAACGGATGGTAAAATTGGATTCAGAGGTGAAAGGTCATAGCTGCTCACCTGACAGTTTGATTTCTACACAGTGCCAAATTCAACATAAAGAACAAAACTCTTCAGGTCACAAGGGATTTCCCCTTGGCAGTATGGAAACGTAAGGTCAAAAGGTCGCAGATTTTTGGGTTTTTTTTTTCTACAGTCAACGTGTGGTTTGAGGATTAGGTTGATCACACTAGGGACTGTCTTCCTCCCAATGACTGCTGGGACTGACAGATTATATAACATTAAAGAATTTTGTTTCTTTTCTTAATGAAGTGACATTTAGCAACAAAGACACCAACAGTTTACTGTGAGTTACTTTATTTTTTGGGATAATCATAAGAAAAAGTAAAGTCACCTTGATGTGTTTAAAGAGTCTGTACAAAACTCATGTAACTAATGTAAATCCAGGGGCAAATTTGGGCAGTTAACTCAGATAGTGAGCGAGAGCATGAGATAGAAATTAGCTGAAGTCACCAGGACTTTCAGAGACCGTCAGCATTCCTTCTTCGGCTGCACTGACTTTTGGGTTAATGGATACGGCGGTGCTGCAGAAATGATGTTCTCACTGCCATGGGTTTAAAGAGAGAAATGGTGGAGGGTAAATGTCCATTGACCACTTCACTGTAATGAAGAGGACGCGGCTGAAGAGGTAAAGTGAAGAGGTGCTGCTGGAAATGTCACTTATGACACAGTTGAAAACAGTAACAAAACGTCTTCTCAAGATAAAATACAATAAGATGAGATAGATTCATAATAACGTATTAGTAATACTTTGGTTAATTAAAGCCAGTATCGCCACCTAAGGGATCCTTATTATTATTATTCAAATCTATATGACTATTATTCGCTCCACCGTCTTTCCTCAACCATTCATAGTTTTATCAAGTTTTAGTTTTTTCTAAACGAAATACAATGTAATTTGGTTTTACTTTACTATGATCCTTATTTGTGCCTCATTAAGGGGTTTTAATACCCCAGTGTCATAAACAGGTAATGGTAAACAGGTAAAAAAAAATCAATGTTTTTCATGTGGACTGTTAATGACCCCAGATCTCATAGAAACCCCATTCCACTAGTTTTACCCACTTGTGTTATGAAAAGGCTGATGAGTTAGACACAATGAAGACAATTAGTTCATAAAAGGCTGATGAGTTAGACACAATGAATTAGTTCAGAAATAACTAATAAAAAGTAGAAAGCAATTTAAAGTTTTTGCAAAACAGTGTTTATCAAAGCAAAATACAAAATACAGAGCAAAGCTGAACACCGAAAATAAACTCAGTTTAGCCTCAGTTGCAGGAAAGAAAGAAAAAGAAAAACTAGGTGGTTCAGGTTCAACGTGTTTTAGGTTCAGAGAATTGTTTACATTTCCTTTTTGTGGGGAAATTACACTATTTTCCTTTTCTTTTTTTTTTCAGATTTGTCCCCGGGCCCTGGTCACCTTGCAGCACCACATGTGGTGTGGGAAGACAAACACGAGAGGTGAAGTGTCAGGTTCTGCTCTCGTTCACTCAAACAGAGGTGGATCTTCCAGAGGAGGAGTGTGGAAAAGACAAACCTCTGCTGGAGAGGCTCTGCAATCAAGGACCGTGTAATCAGCTTCCTGGCAGCTCTTTAGATCTTCAGGACCATTTAGTCCCCTTCAGTGACGTGGAGGAACTGTTCATCTGGGACTACAGGGGCTTCACCTCTTGTTCAGTCTCATGTGCCGGTGGTAAAGCTCCTCCAACAGATGTTAAACCGGTTTAATCCTCTGGTAACACATTAGACATCGTGTCCACCTGGATTTGTCTTTTGCTCTTCGTCCAGGCAAACAGACGGCGATTGTGAGGTGTGTTAACCAGAAGACGGGCGAGGAGGTGGAAGACTCACTGTGTGATTCATCCAACAGGCCACTCATAATGATCCGCATCTGTAACCCTGAGCCATGCCCCCCGAGGTGAGTGACCCACAAGTGGCTAAAGCTGGACAAAAGCCTAGAGTTTGGACCAGACCAGCTGGTCTCATGTCTTCATCTGTTTTTGGCAGGTTAGGTTTGATTCCCTGACACATAGATTGTAGTTCTTAAACAGAAAATTGTGTGTATATTGTTTGAGCTGCCTCTCAGCATTTACCATGCATCTACAGTAGTAAGTAAAGAAAATTCTAATAATGATGTTAAAAACTCTAAAAAGTCTCTAATTTATTCCCTAAAACATAGAGATGTCACTCATAACTGTGAGAATTAAAACCAGCCATGTGACAGAGTCCCCCAGGGACCAGGGACCGTGGACAAAGGTCACGTCTGTAATATAAAATAATGTGATTTCATAAACTTTCATCCAATTCTGTACCATGCGATGCCATGTATTTCTTTTTAATTTTAACATACAGTACATAATAAAGTCATCCCAAGCCCAGATGCAGCTGTGTAAAGAAAAAGATAAATATCATTTAAGTGATGCTGAGTTGGGTCAGAATGTTTCACTTTCAGGCTGCACTCACATCTCCTGTTTTACCTGAGCTGCTTTTATCTCTCCCCCAGTGTGAGTGGGAGGACAGCATGGGGAGATATTATACGTTTGATGTCAGATAAAGGGATAAAGGAAAATAGTATCCTTTCTGTTAGTGCAGAGGTGTTGTATTATGTTGTACTTTGTTTTCAGTTAAATATAGATTTTATTTTAAAAAAAGGTCAGTTAAATATAGATTTTATTTTAAAAAAGGCATTTTACATTAGGCTTGTCCAACAGAGTAATACAACCTGAAAATATAGGGCCAGGACATTCCATTGAAACCTGACCTACAGTGTAACTTTGCCACTGTTTCCTGTGCAACTTTTTGTACTGTATTTCACAGTTGGGAGGTAACAGCATGGACCAGCTGCTCTGCATCCTGTGGGGTTGGAATACAGACCAGGAGTGTGTTCTGCATGCGTTCCCTGTCCATTGAGCAGCAGGATATTCTGAGTGTTCCGGAGGAGGAGTGCAGAGAATTTAAACCTGCCATCCTGCAGCCCTGTAACCAGGTGGACTGTCCTCCAGCCTGGGAGACTGAACCGTGGCAGTTGGTATGCACCACGCTGTGGATACATGCGTTTGTAAAAGTGCTGTCAAACAATTTAGAAAAATCAATATACCGTAATTTCCCGACTATAAGCTGCTACTCTCTTTTTTACACGCTTTGAACCCTGCGATTTAAACAATAATGCGGTTCATTTATGGATGTTTACGGGCTAACGAAGTTCATACCGCTAGCTATAACTGACTTTTCTGGTAGCCTACTTGTGTGTTGTACTTGGCCGTGGGCGTATATGTGCGTGGGGCGAGCAAGAACGGTAGCGAAAGTTGAGATCGGTTCGAGCCCTGTCATGTTCA